GGTGGTGGCCTAAGGGAATTCAATCTCCCGATTGCCAAAATTCAAGTTCCTTAGAACATCTCCAATGGAGTCTCTAAAATTAGGCTTTCTAAATTTGCCACATCAGCATTTTTCAACAACCACGTCAGCATTTTCCATAGCCACGTCAACGTTTTAGAGTTTCCAAATTTTAGCTATCACATGTACTCCAATAGTGAATTTAATATTTTTACTAAATTATTTTTTTTTTCTATAACAGCTATATTTTTTTATCTCATATAAACAATCATTTATTCAACTCATCATCATTACATTCATCTTTATTATTATAGCAAAATATCAATTCACATCTCCTTCAATCTGTATGAAATATTATAAACAATACAATATCTAATATTATTTGATTTATTAATTTATAGAGGTGAAAACAAAGACACATTTTTTTAATAAAAAAAAAATCATATTTTAAAATAAATTTCAATTTGTTAGGGAAAAAAAAATTATTTGGTTAACCAATATAACCGTTAAGGCACTGTTTGGGTTAGTCAAATAATACCTAAAACGGCTATAATGTCAATAGGAACGTTGAAATTTTTGAAAAGGAAAAAAAAAAAAAAAAACTTTTTTTTCCAATTTTTTAAAACTTTTTTGGGCACAAAAAAGTTTTTAAGGCACTTTTTGTGTCAGCCAAACAGTGCCTTAACGGCTCTTTAGTTCAATTATGTTGACGAAAAAAAAAAAAAACTAATTTTTGGAATTTTTTTCACAGCCAAACACGCCCTTAAATGTATTCTGAGCTACAGTATTGCTGGGCCACAAAAGTTTAAAAACAAAAAAATAGGTGTGCCCGCACAAAACATGGGGCCCATTTTTTGGAGACTTTATTGGACTGATCCAATAGCTAAAAAAGGCCCAAAATGTCTAAAACCTGGGCCGTTGGAGCTGTTGCTACGGTGTTTTTGACAAAGGCGGATCCAGGATTTCTGAATGGGGTGGGCTAATATTAAATATAAATTTAATTACAAAATATCTTAAGCAAAAAAAAAAAAAAAAGGTTTTATAACATAACATAGATAAATATTTGAATTCAAAGATTACAAAATATCTATTTAAGTTGTGCTTGACGAGTCTTTAAAGACTCGAATTCGCAATAATAAATTCCAACTCAATTTTCCAAACAAGTTCCCGTTCAAGGTTGATGGTCATGTAGTCAGTAAGAAATTTATCTCCAATCTTGCTACGTATCACTGTTTTAACACATCTCATGCCTGAAAATGCTCTCTCTGTAGTTGCTGTAGAAACAGGAAGAGTCAACACAAGATGGATCAATCTGTCAACCAAAGGATAGTACTCAATCTTCCTGCTTACAACTAGTTCCCGACTTAAATCAGTAAGAGAAGAAATATTCTAAAACTCGGGATCACAAGTTGATAATGCATCAACTGATGCTTCAATATTTTAACATCTTGACCAGTGAAATCCCAAGGATAGAATTTCTCAGCAAGAGTGCATATTTTTTCCATAATAAAAGATTTAAAAGAATCACTAGAATCCAAAACCGAGCTAAGAGTAAGAAGTTCTACTACTTCATTGTTGAATCTATATTCTAATTCTATTAACTGTAAATCTATTGCAGAGTTGAAAATGTCAAAGTGATAATGGTGCTCAACTGTAATATGATCTTGTTGCTGACAATGACAACCCGTGCCCTCTACATAACGAGAACTCAAATCAAGTATATCAATGTTATTTCGATTGCAAAATGACACCACATTGGCAAGGAAAATATCCCAATCATCTTGTCTGAATTTTTGAAGGAGAGTTTTAGTTGTTGAGACTAATTTCAAAGCATTTAGAATGTCTTGAGATTTGTGTTGCAAGGCCTGGCAAAGTGTGTCGGTGAATCCCATAATCTTATACATTAGGTGTAAGATAAATATGAATTCAAAGCTTTTCATACCTTGTACACACCTAAAGCTTGCCCACGTATATGTTGACGTTGTCCACCCTTTCTAAGACTTTCAACAACTGTGCAGGATGCAGTATACATATCAATCAAATCCTTCACAGAATCATCATGTGAGCTTCAACGAGTTGCTCCAGCTCGATGCAATGTGCCAATCTGATTAACCCCTTTACCAGATTCACATTCACTTGTGTTCAACATACGTGCAATCTCATCCCTCTGAAAAGATTGTAATTCAGCAAGACGCTTGGGAGAGGAAGCAACAAGATTGACAATACAAGTCAGGTGAGAGAATAATTGCCAAATATTTGGCTCATCTTTTGCTGCTGCAACTAATGCTAGTTGTAATCGATGAGCAAAACAATGGACATAACAAGCAAATGGGCAATCTTTAAGAAATAATGCTTGTAGTCCATTCCATTCACCACGCATATTACTAGCACCATCATACTCTTGACCTCTCAAATTTTGAATTGAAAGATCAAACTGAACAAGAATATCAGATATTGCATCCTTAAGCGTAACTGCTGATGTGTTTTCAACTCCCACAATGCTAAAAAAACGTTCCATTAGCAAACCATCATGCTTGACATATCTTAAAACAAGAGCCATTTGCTCTGTTTTAGACTCATCTTGTGCTTTATCAACAAGAATACAATATTTGCCTCCCGCAATTTCATCACAAATCATTTTTCTCACTTTGTTTGCAAGAATATGAAGAATCTCTTTTTGAATTGATGGAGCAATGTATTGGGTATTTTGTGGAGCATTGTTTAAAATAACACTTGAGAGTTCATCATTTCATTCTTCTTTGCACTTTAACAATTCTATAAAATTCCCTCGATTTAATGAACTTGAACTTTCATCATGGCCTCTAAAAGCAATTCCTTGCAATGCTAGCAAGCGAACGATTTCAATACTTCCCTTAAGCCGCATTCGATTCTTCAAAACCTCTTCTCTTGATTGGGCATTCAACACTTTATCAATATGTTGTGCTGATTTCTTTAAATTCCCATAAAGCATGGCACATTTTGTATGTGGTGAGGATTGAAGTCCCATGTGTTTCAAGAATACACAATTATCTCCATCATTAACTCTCTTCCAACCTCTAAAACCACTATCAATAAGTGATGAATGACTCGCCGCTGTATTATTTCTCTTTTCAAAGAGAAAGCATGGAAAATAATATGCTTTATCTTTTGAAAGAGAATACTCTAGCCAAGGAAATTGTTTGAACCATTCATACTTAAATCGCTGATTCTGCTTTCCATCAAAAGAGTTAGGATAATTGGAAAGTTTAGGTTGATAAGGCCCCAAATTGATATAAGTTCATCCAATCTCATCCATTTGATTTATCGGGTATTCATGTATTTGAATACGGAACCCGGGATCTCTTTTAATAGAAGTGTAGTGAAGTTGATTGGGTTCAACAACTTGAGGTACGATAGGAGGTTGCAAATCAAGATCACTAGGTATATCCTTTTTCGATTAATCATCATCAATGTTAGATGCACTACCATTAGGTATATCCTTTTTCGATTGACCATCATCACTCATTTGGCCTCTCTTTTGATAGAATGAGAGAATAGACATACTTTTCATTTTCTTGTTTGGAGGTTGATGTTGAGCCATTATTATTTTTAACCTAATAAAATTAAAGAATGAGTTAGATTAAAAATACCTAAATCAAAATATATCTACCTAAACCAACTATTGTTTATTTCAATTTTAGTTAATTAACAATGTTTCTTTAGACAATTGACTGATTAAGGCATAAAAAATCCTATTTGGATAATTAATTAAAAAAAATTACCAATTTAATTCTGACCAATTCACCACTCGGTACCCTATCTCTTTTGACCAATTTATTAATCCTATTTGAGAATCTAGAGTGCAAGCCCCTTCCAACACTACGGAATTCACTCAAAACGTATTTTAATTTTCAAGAAGTAACTTTAGAGCTTTTCCTTTCAAGAATTAACTTTAGAGCTCTTTGAGGTTAGCTATCCTTGATAAACTCCCTACAAGAGTCAAATTATATCACTGGCCTCTCATTTACGGGAGTTGCAATTTGAAAATAAAGGAACTTCAGAATATTCAAGACCGAGTAGTCTTATGATTTTTCTTTTTTAGTTCTGAAAATATTTCCATCTTCAAGAAGCTTGGCATGTTTGATAAAAATTGTGTCAGATTCAAATCATTCAATCTCTGCAGATTTCTAATCCAATTCTTCAATCCTAAGAATTAAAAAATTACAATAATTTTGGAACAAATTTTTTTTTTTAATCCAATTCTTCAATCCTAAGAATTAAAAAATTACAATAATTTTGGAACAATTTTTTTTTTTTAAAAAAAAAAAAAATTGTTATAATCATTTATCTATGAGTTTTTTTAAAAAAAAAATTGTTATAATCATTTATCTATGAGTTTTTAAATATATTACATATATAGCATTATTTCACAAATTTTCACCTCAGAATTCATTAAAATTAAAATACCTTAGGTCCTGGATATGAAATACAAGGCAAGAATGAAATTAATGAAATACAAGACAAGAAATTGAATGAAATACAGTACTCCTTACGTCCTGCCAGATTCTCACACCAGATTTTCACACCAGGATTGGCAATTTGGCAGCCGCAGTCTCGCAGATTCTGAAGTTGCATTAGCCTATTAGGCTTGTTTGGGGTAGGTTAATATTACTAAATTTTTTTTTTAGTATAGTTAAATATTTTATTTTTTATTTTTTGAGTGGGCGGAAGCCACCACAACCCACCCCTCCCTCCGCCCTTGGTTTTTTAGTTTACTCAACCCACGTCCTGGGATTCCTCTTGTAGAAGGGAGAATAGTCGTCCCAAAGAAAGAGGTGGAAAAGAAAAGTCATCAAAGCTGCATTAAGATTGTTTTGAATAAGATATATGTAAAATGCCACTAACCAAAATTAAAGGCCAAGTGTTTGTAATATAGTGCAGCCAAGTTTGACTATGCGTTGTACTTCAATTTAACCATGTCCTCTGCACCAATTGACTTATTGGATTAATGAGATAAAAAAATAAAAATAAAAAAAGCATATATCACTGGTCTAGATCAGGATTCATCATTTGCTCTCTCTCTCTCTCTCATGTCTCCTCTTCCAAGCATAATTGTCTTCCTTCTCTCAGTTTATGCAGGAACAAGAACTTTGGGTGAAAATACAGAGGAGAGTTTCTTTAAACTATGTCCACCAACCAGATGTAGCAAAAGAGGTCCAACTATCAAATATCCTTTCAGGCTCAATACTCAACCAGCCTTTTGTGGCCTTGAAGGATTCGAATTATCATGCTCAGGTAACAACACACTCTTCCACCTTCCTTTCTCCGGCAACTACTACTTGAAAGAAATCTCTTATCTCGATGGCAAGCTTTACCTAATGCAATTCCCCGAATCAAATTGCCCATTACAAGATTATATGTCACTTAACCGCTCCAATTCCATCTCAGACAACTCCGGCCTCTTAGCACGCGAATTTTCTCTTGTGAAGTGCAACCAAAGAATCCCTGCAAGAGCAGAAATAATAGGACCTATTGATTGTTTACGCAATGTTGATAATGATTCAGTCTATGTAATGGATGCTGGTACACCCATGAACAAGCTGCCTCTAAATTGCGGAACTTTTAAAACTGCTGAAATTGGAGTCGGTGGGAATAGTGTAGATACAGCTATGGCAGCCATTGAGAAGCTCTTGAGGACAGGAGAGTTCATGGATGGGTGGAATTGGGAAGCTGTTGGATGCTTCAGCTGTGTAAAAGCAGGGAATTATTGTGGCTTTAACAGGACAAGCAATGAGACAATCTGTTCTAGTCCCAGACCCCAAAGTAAGTAGCCACTCTATTTTCCATCTAACACATACTTGTTAAGCATAGTTACCACAGCATATGGATCTTACTTTTAAGAACTCTTAGTTTGTTTAGAGGACTATAAAACCTATTGTTTGGACAGACATTCCATCTAGATTGTACATTTATGGGTAACGTAGGAGACAAAGTAGAACCATTGATATATGGGTAACAAAGTAGACAGATTCGAACCATTACTGGGATATGTCTTATTGGTTTCTTTATGCTCCAACATATAATTAAGTTTGGTGCAACATATTTCAATAGGATAATTTATGATTGTAAACATTTTAAAATGCTTTCCTATCATTTTTTTGACAACATAAATTGGATCATCCTAATGTATATCTGCATCAGGTACTAATTCCAATTTGCTTACATTTTACAGGTTACAATATTCCAATAGCTATCGGTGAGTGATTTTTCCTTCTTTTTTCCCAAGAAATTAACATATAATTCGTAAGATAATGTTGTTTATGTTTTTGGTTTCTTCAGGAACTAGTGTGGGAGGCACCATCTTGCTTGCCGTGGTGATACTTTTTATCTACAGATATAAGAAATCTGACAACGATAAAGAGACTCAGCTCAAAATAGAGAATTTCCTAGAGAACTACAAGACCCTCAATCCAACCAGATACGCGTTTAATGATATCAAGAAAATAACTGGCCGCTTCAAGCACAAACTAGGCCAAGGAGGTTTTGGAAGTGTCTACCGAGGGAAACTTGACAATGGAGTGCCAGTTGCAGTCAAAATGCTTGAGAACCCTAAAGGAAATGGAGAAGACTTCATGAATGAAGTTGCCACTATAAGTAGGATACACCATTTCAACGTGGTTCACCTTTTAGGATTTTGCTATGAAGGGACACAACGCGCTCTTGTTTATGAGTTCATGCCCAATGGATCTCTTGAAAAGTACATATTCTCAAAGAAAGATCAATCTTCTCATTGTCCCTTGAATTGGGAAAAGTTACAAGAGATTGCGATTGGTATTGCTCGTGGAATCGAGTATTTGCACCAAGGATGCAACCAAAGGATCCTTCATTTTGATATTAAACCTCACAACATTTTGCTAGACCACAATTTCCAGCCCAGGATTTCAGATTTTGGACTGGCCAAGCTATGTTCAAAGGACCACAGTGCTGTATCCATGACAGCTGCCAGAGGAACTGCAGGCTACATAGCACCCGAGGTCTTCTCAAGGAACTTTGGACATGTTTCTTATAAGGCCGATGTTTATAGCTACGGAATGTTGTTGATAGATATGGTTGGGTGCAGGAATAACACTGACGTTACCACTGAAAATGGGAGCGAAAATTATTTTCCAGAATGGATTTACGACAGAATCAGCCAAGGTAAGGAACTTGGATTACAAGTTGAGATAGAAGACGATAAAGAGATTGCAAAGAAGCTTACTATTGTCGCACTTTGGTGCATTCAGTGGAATCCGGTAGACAGACCTTCCATGGCAGTGGTGGTTCAAATGCTAGAAGGCGACCTGAAAAGTTTAGATGTACCTGCAAAGCCTTTTGTTTCTTGAGATATTGATCAGATGGGATCAACTTGATCTAAGTGAAATATTTGAAGTACGTTTTTGTTACAAAAACTTGAATGTAGTTTCAAAGCCACACGGAATAATATTACAGTCTATTTTGTTCTCAGCCTAGTGGAGACTAATCTATTAATATATATATATATTTTTGAAGCGTTGGAAATAATAGAGAAGAAAGTGTAATGGTTGTCCCTTGAGGAGAGAAAAGAAAGTAAAAAAAGGTGATACTCTCAACGTTTAGTTAGTTGGTTATACCATGTCATTGGCATCACCGTTTGGGAGTCTTAATTAAGGGAGAAAAGGAAGGGAAGAGGAGTAGAAAATAAACAATTCGTCGTTAATTCTGTTAATCAAAAGAATAAAGTTGCTTATAGTCCAACTAGTACATTAGAAGGAGCCTTCAGCCTAAATTATGTTCATCAAACTAAATTGATGTTTTGTACCAAATAATTCTAGTCTCAGTGAAGGCAGAGTAAGGTTGAATGAGCAGAGTTAAGAGAATGCCACCATACTATATATGGTAAAGAAGCAAGGATTATGGATGTTTCTTATGGGGGAAAAGCTGAAGATGATGATTCTACCTTCAGAAAAGAAAAATAGTAGAGATAATGGAAATGCCCATTCTATGACTCTATATTTTGGGGGCAAAAAGAAGCTCTTGACAGTCTTCAAGAAACAAATACATGATTAGTACTTCAAGAGTGAGGAATAAAAAGGAAGAAAAGAAAAAATGTCCCTTTTATGTCAGATGGCAACATACGGAATTAAACCCCGGACTTCAACTATCTTCAAAAAGCACCTCTAAACCTGGATAAACACTAAGTCCAATAAAATTGTTCAAACATATTTAAGCTGAACCTCGATAAACACTAGTACAATAGAATTGTTCAAACATATTTAAGCTAAATTCATGATGATGTCAATCCTCTTAAAGCACTGTATACCCCACCACAAGGCACATAAAGTCTTCTGCCTCACATGCATTGTGATTGTTTTGAATAGCATATGGATAAGTCAAGTGATGTGGAATTTTGGACGGCACCAAGAAATCAAAGGCATAGTCTTTGTAACATAGGGCAGCCCAGTTTGACCATGTGCTTTCCAACCAAATTAAAGGCAAAGTCTTTGAAATATAGGGCAGCCAAGTTTCACTATGTGCTTTATTATGGATGGCGCCAGCCTATGAAGCACGGACATTCCTCCTAAGGGATTTCGTATCCGTGTCGGATACTTTTCGGACGACTCGGACACGGGTGTCGGTGTCCGAAAAGTATCCGACACGGGTACGGGACCCCGACTCGGACAAGGGAGTCGGTGTCCGAAAAGTATCCGACACGGGTACGGAGCCCCTGGGAGGAGTGTCCGTGGGAGGCTCGGACACGTGTCCGACACTTCTGTAAAGTGTCCAAATATTATTTTTTATTAGATACGCGTGTCCAAGGCTCTGACACACAGTCCGACACTTCTGTGAGACAAAATTTATTTTCTCTCACTCCTCGCAGTCTCTCCTCTTCTTCAATTATCTCTCTTCATGAACAAGATATATATATTTAAGTTACATGAACAAAACTTTGTGAAAGATTGAAAGTATATATGTTTATTCATATACATATTTAGTTCATTATAGTTATGTCTCTTTTGCACATCTTCGTTTGGAATTTGGATCAACTTTATTTTTCATTTATTTTTTATTTTGTCTTATCTATATTTTTCTTATAACAGAGATAAAATTATTGAAATTGATTCTGTTATTTGTTATTGTTTTATTTATCTGTATAAGATTTTCGTAATCATATTTTGAATATATAATTATATATCTCTATATCTATATATATATAATTTTATAGGCGTATCTTCGCCGTGTCCGTGTCCTATTTTTTAAAAAATTGCCGTGTCGCCGTATCCGTATCGTGTCGTACCTGTGTCCCGTATCCGTGTCCGTGCTTCATAAGCGCCAACGGAATTAAACGCAGTCTTTGTAATATAAGGCAGCCAAGTTTGACTATGTGCTTTACTTCAATCAAACTCGGTGGCAACATTTAATTTGGTCCACTTTTCAAAAGAAAAAAATAATAACAAAATAAAAAAAATTTAATTTATGCAGTCAACGAGTTTTAGCACCAAAATCTTTATGCATCTTTCTATAATACTCTAAAAGTTTTTAGGAGACCTGCATCTTTTTAGGATACTCTTTATATAATAGATTTAATTCATTCTGAAGATTACGTTTTTTTCCAATTTTTTATAATAAGGAGTCCATTTTCATGGTTGTGATTAGTAAGAGAACATGTGGATGACATTAAAAGTGATATACAGCTACCAAAGTGTACCATCCAATAAAGTTTAATGGAATTCAGACCCCACCAGCCCACCAGCAACGAGTACAAATATCAAGAAGTCTGAATAATAAAAAAAAAAACATTTAAATTTTAACACGGTGAATTATCAGCCCATCCTCTTTCAAACAAAAATAAAAGTTAAAATCTATTTACTGAATAATTTTATCACCTTAGTTAGAACCAATCAATAAAAGGAATAAAGTTATATTCTATTTTTTTAATACTAATAAGCCCATCTCACAAATTGTGGAGTCACGGTGTTCCATAATAGAGTTTCTGCAACAATATCACTTTCTTCTTCCCTGATTTCTCATATCCAATATTCATCCGAAGTTAACAGACAACAATGGGAAGTAAAAGCCCACCGACTCTACTCCTTGCATACTTTTCCCTATTGATTTTTTCATTCCTCGCTGAATCTCAAGCAAGATCACTTCAACAAGTTTGTTCTTCCTCATGTGGAGATATCAAAAACATCAGCTACCCATTTCGCTTAAAAGGCGATCCAGAAAGCTGTGGCGATCACGACTATGAACTTTCATGCGAGGACAACAAAACTATATTGGAATATTACTCAGGAAGGTACTATGTGAAGAGAATTTCATATACAATGCGTACCATTCGCATAGTTGATGTTAATTTTGTGAATGGAACTTGCAATCTTCCATACCATTCTCTATCCCCGGATGTAGTGGATAGTGATATTCGTTACGAAGATGCACAAATAGGACTCAATTTTATGTATGCCAGTTTCATTAACTGCTCCGGAATCATCACTGATCCAACTTACAGAAAACTTCCTTGTATGGGTGGAAACACATCCCATGTTTATGTTGTTTATGGTTCTATGCTCTCCAGTCTTCCCGAGAGATGCTCATTTATCTCAATGCTTCCGATTGATTTTAGAGATTTGAATGATACAATCCTGAATTTACTGGAGTCAGGGTTCGATATGGGATGGTCAGTTGAGTGCCGAGATTGCCAGCTATCCAATCAAAGTTGCTATCTAGCTAAATTCGAATTACCATTTGATTATTACTGTTCAGATTATGGTCAGTAGTCCTAACTTGTCTTAACCTTTGTTCTGATGTTCTTGCATTAAAGTATAGCCTAATTTTTCTCTGGTTAGGTCCATATGCAGATGGTATCATTTCCACAATAGTTAAGATCGCCTTTTCTCTACTTGGGTCCTTTTTGATTGGTATATTATCCTCACTGAAACTTCAGTTTGTGACATGTGAGACTATTCTGATTGATTTTCCTTGGTTTAACATCCTTCACTTCTTCATGCTTTTGCAGTGATTATACTTATTGCTAGATTTATCCTCGCTCCAATCATTATTCTGGTGTTCCTAATTCACAAGTTCAGGAAAGACCGAAAGCCGGTTGATAAAGTGGAGACATTTCTACAGAATCAGCAGTCCTTGATGCCGAAAAGGTACTCTTACACTGATCTAGTTGCAATGACGAACCACTTCAGAGATAAATTGGGGCAAGGGGGGTTTGGATCGGTTTATAAAGGGCAACTACCTGGTGGTTACTTGATTGCTGTTAAAATGCTCGAGAACACAAAGTTCAGTGGTGAAGAATTCATCAATGAGGTCTCAACAATCGGTAGAATTCACCATGTCAATGTGGTGCAACTAGCGGGATTTTGTTCTGAGGGGTCTAAAAGGGCTCTTGTGTATGAGTACATGCCTAATGGATCACTTGACAAACACATCTTCGCGAAGGAAGGAAAGGGTCAGTCGTTTTGTTGGGGGAATATCCTCGAAATAGCTCTAGGAACTGCTAGAGGGATTGAGTATCTACATTGTGGATGTGATGTATGCATTCTTCATTTCGACATTAAGCCTCACAATATCCTGCTGGACCAAAATTTCGTCCCAAAAGTCGCAGATTTTGGCCTTGCCAAATTTCACGCGAAGGAGAATGATTTTGTGTCCATTAGTACAACGAGAGGAACAATAGGGTACATAGCTCCTGAACTGATTTCAAGGAATTTTGGAGCAGTGTCCAGCAAATCAGATGTGTACAGTTTTGGTATGTTATTGTTGGAAATGGCTGGAAGAAGAAAGAATGTAGATGAAAAGGCAAAAAGTGAGAGCAAAGTCTACTTTCCATCATGGGTTTATGACAATCTTGACAAGGGAGGAGATTTAGAGCTTGAAACTGTGAGTGACATTGAGATTGGGATTGCAAGAAAATTGTGTATGGTTGGACTATGGTGCATCCAAATGAAGGCATCAGACCGTCCTTCAATGACCAAAGTGGTGGAAATGTTAGAAGGGAATATTGATGATTTGAAAATGCCTCCCAAGCCATTTATGTGTTCGCCCAAACGTGCGTCTATCAATGAGTCTCGATCGGATTCTTCAACAGAGATATTTTCTGAGTCCATAGAGGAATGTTTGTATGGTGATAGAAATGTTTATTCTCATCAATCTGTTGTGTAATAAAAACGGCAGATCTATTATAGTAAAAGTTTATGGTTACATGTATTATTTAGCCCCACATTCCTTTTATGTGTCTATGTACTTTTGCATGTTTATAAGAGATTCAATTAGAGGAATATCTTAATCTGCATCACTGGTCTTCAGGCTTCATCATTTGAAGAACATTCTCTCTCTCTCTCTCCTCTACCAGGCAAAATTGTCTTTCCTTCCCTCAACTTATGCTGGAACAATAAACTTTGGGTGGAAATACTAACGAGAGTTTCTTTAAACTACGTCCACCAACCAGATGTAGCAAAAAAGCTCCAAACATCAGATATCCTTTCAGGCTCAATACTCAACCATCCTTTTGTGGCCTTGAAGGATTTGAATTATCATGCTCAGGTGATAACACACTCTTCCACCTCCCTTTCTCCAGTAACTGCAACTAGAAAGAAATCACTTATCTTGATGGCAGGATTTACTTAATGCAATTCCACGACACGAATTGCCCATTGCAAGATTATATGTCTTTTACCCGCTCCAATTCGATCTTAAAGGACACCTTGTCCAGGGACTCTTCTCTTGTGAAGTGCAACCAAAGATTTACAGTAGATGTAGATGAAATGATACCTATTGATTGTTTACGCGATGATGATGATTTAGTCTATGTAATGGATGCTGGTGCACCCATGAAAAAGCTGCCTCTAAATTACAGAACTTTTAAACTGCTAAAATTGGAATTGATGGGAATAACGTACAGAAAGCTATTACAGCCATTGAGAGGCTCTTGAGGACAGGAGAGTTCAGAGATGGGTGGTGGTGGAACGATGTCGGATGTTCCCATTGTGAACACACTGGGAATTATTGTGGCTTCAACAGAACAAGCAATGAAACAATCTGTTCTAGTCCCAGTCCCCAAAGCAATGAAGCAAGCACTTGTTATGCATTATTAAGCATATGTTTCTTACTTTCAAGAAGTCGTATACACTAAGAAAAAGTCTTGTCCATTTTTAGATGGAGCTTCAATCGCAGCTAGGTCTAGAGGAAAGTCATTGACATTCCTGTTTCTTTGAAAACTTGTTAAGTAGGTGATTTGAAAGTAGAGGTGGAAAGTGAATGTAAGTATTTTCCACTGTAAAATCGATTCCCAATACTACTCTCTCCAGTTGGCAACTGGTTTTTCAGCTGTCTTCCAAGTAGGATCCTTGGCTTTTAGGGTTCTACAATTTGCAGAATTAGTAGGGATTTTCACCCATTTCCATTTCCTCTCATCACTTGAATTGAACTCCAAAGTCAAGGGCATGTAAATAGTTGCTCAGATGAAGATTATAGATGTATGGGTAAAAGAGTAGATAGAGTAGAAGCATTACTGGATGTCTTGTTGGTTTCTTTTTGCTCTAATATATATCTAATTTAGTTTAGTGCAGCATCTTTCTAATTGATCCTTTTGCATGTTAATTCAGTAGAATTCTCTATTTTAAAGGAGAATTTATGCTTCTAAACATTTAGAAAAGCTTTCCTATCATTCTCTGACAACATAAATTGGATCATCCTAATATATATGTGATGTGAATCAGTTACTAATTCTAATTTGCTTACATTTTGCAGGTTACCAAATCCCAAGAAATTCTCTTAATTTAACATAAATTCTTAAGACAAAGTTGTTTATGCTTTTGGTTTCTTCAGTGCTAGTGTGGGAGGCACCATCTTGCTTGCAGTGGTGATATATTTTATCTACAAATACGTTAAATCTGACAATGATAAAGTGACTCAACTTAAGATAGAGAATCCTACCAAACTACAAGACCTTCAATCCAGCCATAAATGCGTTTAATGACATCAAGAAAATAACTGGTCACTTCAAGCACGAATTAGGCCAAGGAGGTTATGGAAGTGTCTACCGAGGGAAGCTTGACAATGGAGTACTAGTTGCAGTCAAAATGCTCGAGAATTCTAAAAGAAATGGAGAAGAGTTCATGAATGAAGTTGCTACTATAGGTAGGATACACCATTTCAATGTGGTTCACCTTTTAGAATTTTGCTATTAAGGGACACAACGAGCTCTTGTTTATGAGTTCATGCCCAATGGATCTCTTGAAATTTTCATCTTTTCATTGCCCCTTCAATTCAGAAAAGCAGCAAGAAATTGCGATTGACATTGCTCGTGGAATTGAGTATTTGCACCAAGGTTGCAACCAAAGGATCCTTCATTTTGATTTTAAACCTTACAACACTTTGGTAGACCATAATTTCCAGCCAAGATTTCGGATTTTGGACTGGCCAAACTCTGTTCAAAGGACCAAAGTGCTGTATCTATGACAGCTGCCAGAGGAACTGGAGGCTACATGGCACCCAAGCTCTTCTAAAGGAACTTTGGGCATGTTTCTTATAAGTCCGATGTTTATAGCTATGGAATGTTGATAGATATGGTTGGGTTCAGGAATAACATTGATGTCACCATTGAAAATGAGAGAAAATATTTTCCAGAATGGATTTGCGACAGAATCAGCCAAGGTGAAGAACTCGGATTGCAAGTTGAGATAGAAGAGGATGAAGAGATCGCAAAGAAGCTTATTATTGTCGCACTTTGGCGCATTCAGTGAAGTCCGGTGGACATACCTTCCATGGCATTGGACCAGTGGTGGTTCAAATGCTAGAAGGTGATCTGCAAAGTTTAGAGATACCAGCAAAGCCTTTTTTTTTTTTGGTTTTTTCCTTGAGATATTGATCAGATGGGATCAACTTGATCTCAATGAAATATTGGTTGTAAGTTTTTTTTTTTTTTCTTTCCCCGGAAGGTAATATCGAATGTAGTTCCAAAACAGCACGGAATAATAAATCAATCTATTTTGTTCTTAGCCTAGTGAAAACCAATCTATTAATTTTTATTTTGAAGTGTTGGAAATAATAGAGAAGAATGTATAATGGTTGTAGCTTGAGAAGAGAAAAGAAGGAAAAAGAAGGCAATAATCCTATCTCTTACGTGTCAGCATTTAATTACTTGGTGACATCATCGTTGTATTAAAGTTTAATCCCTTATTTGGGAGTCTTAGAGCAACTCCAATGGGCTGCTATTTTCAAAATATAGCATATGGGTTTAAAATGGGCTCTCCAATGGCATGCCAAAATATAACTTTGCCAAATATTGTGCCAAATATGACAAAACATATAGCCATTGCCAAATCTGTTATTGCTCTCTTCCTTCTCTCTTCTCTCTCGCATGGGCTGCCAATTTGGTGTTGGGCTTGTGTATACATCAGTTGTACTTGTGTGTGTATATATATATATATATATATATATATATATGTCAGTGTTGTGTGTATATATATGTATATGTCTGTTGTGTGTGTATATATATATATGTGTGTGTATATATATGTCTATTGTGCTTGTATATATATATAGATGTCAGTGTTTTTATTTATTTATTTTTAATAAGCAAATAAGCTAAATAAAATACAAACACTCACAAAAAAAAAAAAAAAATAGTTGTTGAAAATTGTAATTGGGAATGGTAGTTGAAAAATAATGGTTGTTGTGTCAAAAAATAGCATTTTGGATGAAATGCACCATTGGAGCAGAATTGCTAAAATATAGCATTTTGACATTGTAACTCCTCTCAAAATATAGATTTGGCATGCAAAAATGGCATTTTATATTGGAAATGGTCTTAGTAAAGGGAGAAAGGAAGGGAAAAGAATTATAAAATAGACAATTTATTGTTAATTCTGTTTATCGAAAGAGTAAAGTAGCTTAAAATCCAACTAGTACATTAGGAGGCTTCAGCCTAAATTTTGTTCGTCAAACTACATTGACTTATGTTTTGTATCAACTCTAAGAAAATAAAGAATTAAGATCAAATAATTCTAGTATCAGGGCAGGGAGGGTAAGGTTGGATGAGCAGAGAGTTGAGAAAATGTCACTATACTAGATATATATGTAATAAAGAAGCAATGATATATATTGGACAGAATGTCACTATACTAGATAAATGGGACTATACTAGGACAGAATGTTCGACAAGTCCGTTTTCAACCTAATAAACAAAACCTACTAGCTTATACACAAAACCTACTAGCTTTAGTTAGTAGTTGATGCTGATTTTTGGCCGAATTCAGTAGTTTAGGGCCTCAAAATCACATTTTTTAATCCTATAGTTAGACTGAAATATTTCGGAAAATAGTAAGGGTAGTTTGGGTAAATGAATAATATTTTTCCATATCCTCATGGACTTTTTAAAATTTCCATGACTTTGAAAAACAGTTGACTTTGACTCCATAAATTTGAAAGTTGATCTCCAAAGCTCCATGTTTTAATTTTTTATATTTTTTTTCATTAGCTAATACTTATAATCACTCACTGCCACGTACACATATTGACCACCCATTTTCATTGACCAGAACAATGACTCACCATTTCATTAATCCATATCCATAACTCACCACTCATATACCAACACAATCATATTTGAGCCTACTCAACAATTTCTCAAGTGTTCTGTCATTCTGATGATCAGGAAATTCTTCAAATTCCACTTAGTGTGGTGGATACAGAGGACCAAATGGTATGGAGATATGATAAGAGGGCTGTTTTCTCACAAAAGTCAGCTTAATGGGTGGCTTTGGAGCTTTGTAAAGAGCGTGGTCAGGGTAGTAATGCCTGGGTTGAGAGTAATTCTGTTAGAAACCTTATGCTGAAGAGCTACTGGAGAAAACTATGGATAAGTAAAATACCAGTTCTGCAATGTATAAGAAGAAAGACATACATGTTTGACAAACTCCTTGGTCATTTGCAATTGTTTGTGTGAGTCAATAGGAAATGGCAAACTATTGTAGTACATTTTGTGTCAATTTTTCTATGTCATTTCTCTGGGACTTTGTGTTAGATGTTGAATCGTTGTAAACCGGTGACTTTTTCAATTTGTATGTTGCAAAGGGAGATCAGCAAAATCAACTAACTCAAAAGATTATGTTTCCAGTTGTGCAGAAAACTGAAAAGTCTCACATTTGAGTTCATGGATGAGTGGTGGTGGTATGATGTTGGATGCTTCGACTATGAAACAGCAG